AGGGGAGATGGCTCTGGTTTCTCTATGGTCACAGAACTAAAGTTTCTGTATTTGGCTGAATCCAACAAGTGTGTGCTTAAATACCACTTTACGGAATCTTAAGTAGGACCCAAAAGTCTGTTCCCATGTTAAGTCTAGCTGGGGAAACTGAAAAGAACCATTTGGCAGAATTTCTTTCTTTAACTCAAAGAAGGGTGTCATACTCCTGATTGATGGGCTGAGATAATTTTATAAACTAATAAAAGTTTTTTTAAAGGTATTTGATTGAAGGAAGCCTTATGACAGATATTTCCCTCTACTTCTACTTCTTCTCTTATGTCAGTCATAACCCTCTACCAAACTAGTTACACTAGCAAGCGTTTGGGATCTCTGGGATACTGCACTGCTAATGCAGGGAAAGTGCTTTTTCCTGCTTTACTGGCTACCGAGTTGTTGACCTGGAATTCTGTGTGTGTACCTGTAAGCCATACATCATGATCCACCGAGGAGTTATTAAATCAAGGCAGTCAGCTGTGACCATCACTGAGTACAGAGAGACTGATCACACAGAATAGAAAACAATGAAGTACATACACGCTATACATAAGCAAAGAGTACTGATGACTAGCAAAGTTCTCTCCTCTTTAGGCATGTTTCTATTTACAGGGCCACGAGAAAGAATGAATGCCCTCCATTCTTTGGGTCAAAATATTGAAAAAGTTTTAGAAATAGCAACTGAAATATTGTGCATTAGGAAGCAGTCAAAATCCCAGAAGTTTCTCTGTCTATATTTTACTACATTTAACTGCTGTCCTGGTTCCTATTAGATAGTGAGTTTCCTGCAGCCAGAAGTCATGTTTTTTGGCTGAGTCCTTTGTTCCCATTATGGGTTTAGGAGCAGAACAAATAGTTAAAAGATGCTTCATGACTGAGAGTTAAGCACAGCACTCAGAACACTGATGGTTAAACCCAAGTTCATAACAAGGACTCTGGTTACTTGCTGGAAGTCTCAATATCCTTTATTAACGAATGAACATAGGGCAAATTTTTCTTTAATGTGACTTTCCACTCCCTAGTGATAGATATATGTATCTGATTTTCTCTCTGACCTCCAGCCTTTTCCCAGTTTTCTGGGTACTTTTATCCCTTTAAAGGAAGCTTCTTCTCTAGATTTCTGTGCATCTATGGGAACTAAAACCATCTGTCTCTGACTGTTCTCTTAGCAGCAAGGAAAGCCATGTTCTTTGGAAACTAGCTTTTTACTGATGGACAGAAGGGGAGAACATCTATGAAGAGATGAATTCAGTTATTCCACTAGGTATCTGCTTGCATCTTTTGCTCATATGAACAGCTTTGATGACATGAAATAAATCCCATGTAGCTGCTCTGGGGATTAAGTACATCTATGGGTGAACTAATATTGTACTTGCCTAATACTCTGAAAATTGCTGTATTTATATCTTTAACATTTGACTTTTTTTTCATTTTTTGATATTATGTTTGTAATCCAGGTTCTCTTACAGGCTATTTGGAAACTGTACTGTTGGACTATATCCCCAGCCAACTTTATTTGTTGTTAAGACTATTCAAATATAGGTTTCCACAATGCAGGAAACATAAAAGTCAAATAATGCAAACACACTGAAATCATCCCTGTACAACATGTAGAGAATTATGAGTGTCAATCAATTTCATTTGTACACTGCTCCCACATCACTTCCAGTGCCGCACACAGATTAAGACAAGCAAAATAATTTCACCTAGATTGAATATCTTTTGAGCCAGTTTAAAACTCCGCTTGAGCCAGGTACTGCTGGTTATTTTCTCTCATTACAAGAGTTCAGGGAAACAAAATGCTACCACATGGGAGGATCATGTCCACCACAGGGATAAGGCCAGCTTCAGAAGGCTCATAAGATGTTGCACCCTCTCCAATAGGGCCAGAGCCAAAGCTAGTACCCCCCCCCATGTATGAGTGTGCATGTGTGCACATGTGTATGAGTGTGTATATGTTTGTATGTGGGGGGGTAGGGAGGCAACTCTAAGGCAAAGTAGAAGTCATACAAACTAGGCAAATATTTTGAATTGTTTATCCTAGATCAAAATTTGCAAACTCTCTGATTTAGATTGTTTACTTCTCAAAATATATGGATAATAACAGGGAAAGCCTAAACATATATTCCATATAACCCTAAAAAGTGGTGTACTTGAATTTCACTTCTCATCCATCTGAATGTCCAACACAGCACTGGCCAGAGAAAACTGGCAGCCACAGCTAAAATACATCCAACAGCTGGAACCTATGAACTAAGATGGAGGGAGATGGAAAAGATGGGGAGAAACGGAGGACTGGGGGGAGAGTTGACTGTCATAGCAGCTGTAGGATTCCCAGGCAAACGTGTTTTCTTCTTGGTGCTCATAGCAGACCCGGTAATAGCTAAAGTTCCTTCTGGCATTCAGAGTAAGGTAAGCAAGACAAGTAAAATATTACTCCAAGATGTCATTTCCAGACCAGAAAGACACACTCACTACTTTATACTTCAATAGTCAAGGAACTCTGCTACTCATTTATTTTGAGAGAGTGAGTAGTTGATGTTCTAAAATAAACATGGACAAATTTGGTCTAGCTCCTGTAGGCATACTCCAGATATGGCAAGTGTCTCCGGGACCATTTTTGGTAAGGACTCTGTTTGGGTTCTGCTAGTCCATTTTACATCCCCTCTTCCTTTATTGGTCTATTTTACATATTGTGTAAGAACAAGGCCAGGAGCCCTTAGAGTTCTTGCCCTCAGCTCTTACTGTGTGTGGCCTTTATTTCATCTACTACTCTGTCTCTCAGACTCATTTAGATGCTAAGGTTGGGTCTGTAGGTATGACAGAATAGAATTTTGGAAGACCAAATACCAGATTTTAATATTAAAGAGATTTTGTCTGGGAGATTTCCTATGGAAGTGTGTTTAAGTCTCACTTAAGAATGTGCTCCTTTTAAAACAATCTATCACTTTAACTTTCCATTTTCTTTCATATTATACTTTTGTTTATCACTTCACAGCATGAAGATTGGATTCTAATTAATAATACTTTCAAATATGTCTTATTTTTATGTATCATAGCCCTTCATTTAATTTTCCACAACTTAAAAACTTTTAACCCATATGTCTTCATCAAATTTTTTTCTACTACATTAACAATATTTTTATGTACTCTATTTTTAATGACATCAACATTCATGATTTTTTTCTTTGTAGTTTGAGTCTATAAAGTCATTTATTCAGTTGACTGATTTGCCTGGGTACTCTTAACTAAATTATTTTTTTCCTATTTGCTATCCCAAAGTAAAATATTTCAAGAGTTTTCAAAATAATTTTTATCATTACAACCAGTGAATATAACACAAGTACTGAGAAGAGAAACAGACACAAATTGGCTTAACTTATATTTCATTTGTGATGTCACCATAAGAGATTTTCTAAGGTAGTTCTCCACATTTCCTTCCATGGACAATAACATACTTCAAAAACAATCTAGAATATAGTTGGCTAGCTATGACAGACTAACAGTCTGTTAGATTGATCTGTCTGTCTGTCTGTCTGTCTGTCATCATATATCATGTGTTTTTAATTCTAAGAGTCCCAAAACACAGAAACTCTCCAGAATAAGCTGGTATTCTATGTTGGCCAGAACATCCAGCAAGTTAAGGCCTCTGAGAACATGCCACACTCTGAAATTGGTCTATTTTCTTGCCGTGACTGATACACAGGAAAGTTAAAGCTTATTTTATATTTATAGCCATTTGGAGTTGAGACAAGTCCCGCTCATGTGCATCATTTAGTACATGTATCATGGATGAGGAGATGAGGTCTTTGCTGTCAGTCAGATCATGGACCAGAGCTGGCAGCGGACATCCAAACAATGAGGACTAGTTTCCTTCAAATAGTATATACATTCATTCTGACCACATAAGGGGCCTTGTTCCCTGTAAGCTGTTAGTATTTGTATTATTTATTAAAAGTCCTGTGTTGACAAAATGGCTCAGTGGACAAAGTTGGTTACAAGCTAACTTGAAGGTCATAGTTCAGTCCTCAGGACTCACATGGTAGACGCACATGTACATGTGTGGTCATACATGTGCACACACACAACACATGCAGGATCATACACATAAATAGATGACACTTAGATATAATACAGGAGCTAGTACTCGGAAGTAGACCATGCTATACTGGAGTGTCTATAGACCTCATTCAAAGTTTCCATGAGGAGAAAATGCTGACAGGCCTCTTCAAGTCACTCACTCTGTAGCCAAGGCTAGCCTAGAACTTACTACATCTTGAGGTTGCTCTTAATCTTGTGGTAGTCTCCTTGCCTCCATCTTGTAAGTACTGAGATTACAGATGTGAGTCACCAACCAGGTTAGTTAATGAGCTTCAGGTAGTCAGAAAATAAACTAATATGATCTGAGAAACAACTGGTATTGAGATTCTACTGAAGCAAAGTATGTCCACCAGAATGTTCAGAAAAGCAGTAATACACACAACTCTTAGAACAGCCGATGTCTAATAAATGCACGAGAGCTAACACACTCATGCCCTAGGTTAGGAAGAAGAAAGGAATAGTCTCTCCCAAGACCAACTGCAAGCAAATGTCTGGAGCTACAGTCATTAATGCAACTGATGTTACACTTTAATATTTTTAATATTATCAAGAAACAATTTAAGAGTTGGATGTGGTAGTATATACTTGTGTTTCTAGTACCAAGAAAATTCTAGAATTTGTTAACTTGAGCTACATAAACAGACCCTCCTCCTTCATTTTTTTTCCAAGAGAAAAAAAAATCAAAAACATAAAATTAGGGACGAGTTTTGGCCTAATATTTCAAAGATTACTTGGAAATGGTTAAATGCAAGGCCTTTGAGCAGAAGTATACTGACAAACATGGGATAATTAAAACATAGGCATTGTGTTCCTAAGCCAAGAGTTCAGGACCAGTATATCCCAGTCAGTAATGTTCTGATGCCTACCTGACATACAGGGAGCGTTTCTGATTAGTTCGAAGGGACCCGGACCCGGAGCTCATGCTGTGGTTCATCATCTGCTCTCGTAGGTCATGGATTTTGGCCTCAAATCGAGCGTAATCTGAGAATGAGGAAAAAAAAATGGTAAGTTTGGTTTGGTGTCTTCTGAGAGTTAGATGTGCTGTAAAAGCAAGGCTACTAATAACCATTATTGTTAGTTTCTTACCAAGTACCAGGCAGATGGTCAACTTCAGTACAGTAGGTCTGCTTACTAAGGCCTTTTACCCACAAATCCACAGGAAGAAAAGGACTCATAACATTCCCAACTTTTGAGACATTTACGATTCCATACAACCCTTATTCAGTTTCCTATTTCTCAAAACTATAGCATATCATTATAACTAGGATATTGAAATGGACACAACCTATTAATTTCAATCAGATTTTCTCAGTTTAATTTCTACCTGAGTATATTTGTGTGTGAAAGAGAAAAAAAATAGAAAGGGAGAGACAGAGACAGAGAAACACAGAGACAGACAGAAAGAGACAAGATAGAGAGGTAGACGGAATGAGAGTGACAGACACATATAAAGAAGGAGGCCTTTAACATAACCCTGGGTAATCTAAAACTTGTTCTGTAGAGCAGACTGGCCTCTGCCTCTGAGTGCTGGCGTTAACCGTGTGTGTCACGGCTCCAGCTGTTCACCAGCACAGTTAAAATAGCTTGATTTTCAACTCAATTTACAACTTTTCATGACACCAAAGATAACTAAATTAATGTAATAAAAGTTATTTACCTAGAGTGTTTCCAATTATTTTCATAAAGGATCTATTTCTTTTTTATTTATGTGTATATATGTATGTGTGACTATGTATGAGTACACACTGAGGTTTTCTGGAAATTCAGCAAGTGATCTTAAGTGCTGGGCCATTTCTACAGCCGTGTGTTCCAAACGCTGTGTAATTAAGAAGTTCTATGAAGCTGACTTTAATTTCAGATCATGTTGCAGATATTGCTAATTGTGAGATGGATGTCTCTAAAAGCCTTGGCAACAGCTAACAGAATGCTAAGTTTGGAATGTAAAACACAAAATCTGTACTCTGAAGATTAAAAAGGCACATAATAGTTTGTTATTTCTGATGCTGAAGTACATTCTGGAATTACCAAGATTTGGCAGACTTTGTATTAATTATTCAGCTTTAAATGGTTAGATAAGGAAAATATAGACTTAATCATACAGTTCATCTAAAATCTATCGACTTTACTCTAAAATACTACATTTCATTTCAAGGGAAAACTTAAGAGCACTGGTGTGATATTGTCAGCATGTTATATAAGGCATATTATAGAATAAATCACTAATGGCACCACAATTAAAGGTACTGGTCAATATTTTACATAACAATTAAACAGTCCCCATGAGCATTTTGTTTTTATGTTTTAAAAATAGATTTTGTTATATAATCTAGGCTACCATGGGACTCGCTGTGTATACATAGCACAGTCTGCCTTGGACTTGTGTTCCTCCTGTCTTAGCCTTCTGGGTGCTAGAATTATAGGCATGTGTTTTCACACTGTAGAAAAAAACAAACAAACAAAGAAAACAAAACAAAAAAAAATCACCCACTGATTTGTTTGGGGACACAGAGTGGAAGCCTCCAGCTTCCTCAGATCCTGGATGTCACTCAGTCTCATGGAGACATAGGACTCTCTGCTTCACAACCAGAAAGACTTGAAAGTTGAAAAAGCATCTACAATCAGCACCTCACCCTGTCTATCCAGTGAGCTACATTACTGCCTCTGTCACAGCACCGCCCCATCATAGTACTGCCTCTACCAATCACAGCACTGCCTGTGTCAATCACAGCACTGCCTCTATCATGCCACCATCTCTATCACAGCACTGCCTGTGTCAATCACAGCACTGCCTCTATCAATCGGATCGTTGCCCCTATCACAGCACTGCCCCATCACACCACTGCCTGTACCAGTCACAGCACTGCCTCTATAACTTCATTGCTCATTAGATACTCTATCACAGCATCTTGAAATTATTTGTGTGGTTACCTTATTCCATTAGGCTGAGCCTTTTTGGACAGGCTCATGTCCCATTGGAGGAATTCCATATTTATGGCGTGCAATCTGATAGTGTTAAGAGGTGCAGAACACCTTTTCTAAATGACTGATCAGTGAATAAGGAATGAACTAAGTCATTAGATAAGCATGGTTGTCAAATTGCTGCAAGTGAAGAAATTGCCAATTCTCAATATTATTTGCAAGAGAAGGAAGGTGGCTCATGCTTATCTACGTTTCCAAAAGCAAGGGCTCAAGGTTCAGATATTTTTTTGTTAACTTACTACCACTGCCAAACCACTTTGCTGTTTTTATTGCTCTCTAGGCTCTCTTCAACTCACTCACACCATGCACTGAAAACAGTTCTGACACTTAATTTACACACAATTAAGAACATCAATAGACTCTCTCAAAGGTTCTCATTAGGATTACACAGCTACAGCATATATTATGACAGGATACTTGCCTTAATAATAAAGCTCATTTGCATTAGTGTATGGCTCATTAGATACCCTGAATACTTTCTGCCATATTCTTATATTGGATGCCCTCCTTTACGTACAATGCTTAAGTTCTCTGTAGCTCATAACTTATACTGCCTTTGCTTTGTCTAGCATCTATCCTATCCTATCCTCTCCTTAGCATTTTGGCACTCGGCTCAATCACAAAACTTGTATTCAAAGGTACCTATCTTTTACCTTTTGAAAGTGAAGACAGAGGCTCACATAATTTAGCCAATACATAAACAATAGGTTTATAGATACAAATGGGGTAAGGGTGGGGGAGGTAGCGCGTTTTCAAATTCATAGAGATAAACCAAGCTTATAGTTAGAAAGGCTTCAGAAATAAACTTCTATGTAGACTGTGAGATGCCAATCTTGATATCTTATCAAAAAAGTATTGAAAATCTACTCACCATGCAAAAACACAAATAACTAATACACCCACTCTTATCAACTCAACTTCTTCCTTAACTGCTTCCCTCCTGCCTCTGTTCTCTCCTTTGGGATATTTTTCAGAGAAATTCATAACACTCTTGATTTCAAATCTCCAAACATTCAACCGAGATTTTTAAAACACACTAATCTTTACACCATCTAGCTTGGAGCAAGTCAGAACCTGAGTGGATTCACTTACAGAATGTGAGATTACAAGGCTGTTAAGTGTGATAATGGTAAGGTAGAAAGCAACATTTATCCTGCCCTGCCTTGCTTGCAAAGGGCATTCCGTGAAGGCTGAAATCATAAATCATTTCTTACTTCTTGTGCCTTTGAAACTAGCGAGAAGGCACTGAAAACTAACTCCTAAGTGAAGTGTTCAGAGCGCAGTCAGGAAACACTGGCTTTAGTGAACTCTTTGTCCCCTCTGCATGAGAAGCCCAGATACCTTTGTATCCCCCCCCCCCATATTCTGACACATCTAAAGCCAACTGTACATGAAAGCAAAGGAGAAACTATACAGAGGGAGGAAAGAGACCAGATGGTGAAGGCGGAGCAAGAAGAAGCAATAAACAAGACATGGTAATAAGCATGAAGGAAGTGCCATAATGAAATCCATTATTTTGTATGCCAACTAAAAAAAAAATTAAATTATACGAGCAAGCCTATGGAGTTCCAGATGAAGTGGATAAAGCCATTAGCAGAGGCAGTGACAATCAATGGTACTCATTAAAGGGAAGAAGATTTGTTCCTAGAGCAGATACAGTGAGTGAGATTTCAGCTTCAAAGTGAGCCCTTCCGAGCATCCTGCTGCAGTCAGAACCATCAGTGTTGACTGAACGGAAGTAATGCACAGAATTTTACTAAACTCATTTTTACAGAAGAGTGTTGTCTTATAGAAAATGTGCTTAGTGTATGTGTCATATTAAAATCCACTAAGCATTTAAGAAATTAATAAATCTGATTGTTTCTAATTGTAATCACTCATTTGGCAGTTTAGTTTTTTTTTTTCAATTTTGACATGATGGTTAATAATATAAGAATCCTTAAGCTTTGGGATATATAGATGGTTATCAGCTTCTTGGCCCACTCATATCCCAGCTATACGTCACTGGGTGAGTTATTATCCACTCTTGGCTCAATTTTCTTATAAGCAAAATGGCAACAATGATGGTGCCTATCTCAAGATAAACTGGGAAGATTTCCAGAGAGCTCATGGATCAGAACAATTGGCTCTTGGTAATGACTGTCATTCCTTGTTTTTATGTGAAATTCATAACCTCTTCTTACTCATTACTCACAAACATTGTAGGTTCTATCAACTAACACGGAAACGAGTCTATGTCTAAAACCCTCTGATTTAGCCTCTCTGTCCCGATTGTAAAGTACATCTACTAGGCCAAACAGGAAGAAGCAAAGGCAACCACAGTTTGGAATGCTTGGTCCCTTCTTGATAAAAGTTAAATGACCCACAAGATACTCCTACAAATCCATAGTTACCTAGAGCTCAGAATGATGCTGTCCAATTCCAGTATTGCTGTGGTTTTCTGTTATATTAGCGGCTTCATCTGTCTGGATTCTCTCAGCACTGAGAGACACTCAGGAGGAGAGGTGAGAGGGTCTGTACAGCACACACTACTCAGTGAGAGGGGGCTCTGCTATGCTCGGATTTTCTTTGCAACTTGTCAAGGTTGAACAAGAAAACCCAGGATACAAAGGAGGAGTATTCTGTTTAATCTACCAGTGTTTAATGGTGTCCAGATGCTTACATCCACAATTCAAGACTGTGTGCTTTGAATCTGAGAGAAGGAAAGAACCTTGGCATAAGGAATGAGCACCCCCAAGTGAGCTGGGGAGCGGGGCAGCACATTCCTTCACAGTCTTGACTTCATGTAGCAGTCTTAACAGCTGTCAGCTATGAGAGCAGAGCAGAGAACTCTAGGAGAGGAGACCTGGTCTCTGGATTAATCATGCCATTTACTAACAATGAGGCCTTGGGAATTACTAAGACTCAGCTAACTCACCTGTACATTTTGAGGTTTACTTTTCAAACTGGTTTAGAGAATCAAAATGAAATTTGATGTGAAACAGCTTAACTCTTATTCCCGT